ATATTGGAGAGCAAGAGAGGTTTTTTCTCCTAGCATGAACAAGCATCTAGAAATAAGCATCATTTTCCTTTACATTGTATGTACATCGCAGATTTTTTTTTTTATCCGATCTCACGAAATATAGCAAAATATAAACTAAAAGATGTTGAAATGGTTATGCATACGAAAGTTTTGGTTTTTAAAATTTGGATCATCTGGCGCATTTGCGAACCAATTGCTGGTAGCTTTGTTTACCTAGACGAGAAGAAAAGTAAAAATCTCAAAGCTACAACACCCTGACTACCGTATTTTCCAGACTATAGGGTTTTTTTTATGCTTTGGCTGGGTTTGCGACTTATATACAACTTCTAATATATAATTTCTAATATTTAATTTCACGTTTGTTATTGTCACACTGACAGCCACTAGAGGGCACTCTAGCTGGCTGGTGCAAGTTTTACTACGGAGCGACTTATATCTGGGGGTTTTTCTTCTTCATTATGCATTTTTTGGCTGGTGCGACTTGTAGTCTGGAAAATACGGTACAGTGTTCCCTCTCTATATCGCAGTTCTTCTTTCACTTCCTCAGTACATCGCAGATTTTTTTTTCATCCAATCTTGCTAAATATAGAAAAAAAGAACGAAAAGACAATAAAATAATTATACATATGAAGGTTTTGGCTTTAAAAATGTATGAAGGTTTAGAATAGTATTCCTAAGGAGGCCAATGTAGCTTTGTTTACCTGGACGAGATCGTGGATATAAGCACATTTGCGAACAATCGCCGGTAGCTTTGTGTACCTGGACGAGATCGTACACAGCATACTATTGGCTTATACAACGCGTCCTCGGTGTACTATTGGCTAATTGAGCATGCTCTTCTGTTCCTGATTGGCTCATGCATCGTAGCATCTCCCCTTGTCTGTCGACCACTCTCTCGTTTACTTCGCTCTGCATCGCCATTATACAACTCCTCTGTGCATATAATTGTGTTGGAAAAGGGTTGATAACAGTTTGTAAAGGGTGAGTATATACGTAAAATAAGATAAAAACTATCTCGCCTCTAGTTTGCAATTTTTACCATTTCGTGGTGGGCACTTGGAACACAACTACAGCAATAGGAGCGAGATCACTGTATTGGCAACATTTATATGGAAATTGGGGAAGTGTAGGATTTCAGTGACACAGATCACAGATAAACAATCAAACAAAAAAACACACTGTAGTTTCCAGCTCATTTCGGTTCAGTAGCCACATACAACCCTAATTAGACGTCAAGTGGGCCGGACCAGTACAATCATAACATAATTAACTGACTTATTACAAACAATAAGTCCATGTTATTATTTTTTTTTTACAAGAAATCTACTGAACCTGAAGTGTTGTGTTACGTGCCGTCATAGCAGGAAACAGGCAGGACCCAAATGCAGCACAAGGGAGACTCTCTTCAGGAGCAGCAGGATTATTAACAAAGTGCAAAAACAACAAAAAGTCACTTGGTCACAGGAACAAGGCTTAAACTACAAGGCCGGGACTTTAGCAAAACATGGACGACAACCACAGCACACTAACCACAAACTGAACAACCCAGACAATGATCCCACCAAGACTGAGTGAGGGAGAGAGGTGTATATATACCCAGGGCACCAGGTGACACCAGTGAGACTAATGACAGACACAGGTGAGGGTGATCACACTGATTACCTCCACTCAGCAGACACAGCAGACATGAAAGACAAAGCAGAAACAGGAAACCAACAGCCTTATCATGTTGTGTATTTGTTTGTTTTCAAATTTTCAAAATTCATCAAGCTGTGTCAAACTGTGTTTTATATTCTGAACACCTTTGTTGCCCGCAAGCCATATGTTTGACAACCCCTGCCTTAGACTTTCATTAACATTAGCATAACAACTACAGTGTATGACTTCCTAACAGAGGTTGGTGACCTTCATCAACTTTATATGAATAAAAATATATGGAGAAAAATATATTTCTATAATTAGTATAAATATATATATAAATATATTATATAAATATAATATAAAATTATAATTATATTCCTGTTGGGGACTGTTAGGTTGGCTCTCGACCTACTATTTAAATGACCAGGCCAAAGTGATTGACCCACACTGACAACATTAAATATATATTTACCTATATAATCTGAACATACTATATATATATATTCTATGTTTAGGTGGTGATTGAATGCATACAGCTTTGTAACAAAAAAGTATTACATTCTTTTTGTATTTTACAGTGTATGGTCACTACTGCACACTGCACCACAAGTGTCAAAAACTAAGGCCTGGGGTCCAAATCTGGCCCGCGGTGTGAGTATATTTGGCCCGCGAGATCATATCAAATGTGTCCTAGAGTCAGCCCCTATTATATACTAGCAGGATTTGTAGTATTAATAGTGTATACGCTATGTACGCTATATACGCATGTTTAAATTCATTTACAGTTAAAATCGTACCTACAAACGCATCACGGATGATTGGATTTTATTTTTTCTTGGGGCAGTTTTGGTAAAAAACAAAACAAAAGAGTTAATTAGTTTGTCAATTAAATGCGATAGCTGCATCAGATTGTTTCGAACACTTGGGGTTGATGTTTACTCACATAGCCATGAAATGCATAAGGAGATTAAGACAAAATAAGATGTCGTTTGAGTCCCGATTATTCCGTCGACACGTGACACATACAGTCTGAGCGGCTCTTTATTTGGAATAACACACAACGGCAGAATAAAAAATGAAAACCAACAGCTCAGATTGGGCCGTTTAAGTGAAGGGGCCTTTAATAACTGCTGCAATTTCGTGCATTTATCGTTGTCACGGTCAACCATTACTGGTTCTGAATGTGACTTGATTTGAAACTGTTCAGGTCCAGACGTATTGAACAAGTGGAGAAGTACTTCTTGACACAAACAAGTCGGGAAAACTTGATTAAGTTGTAGTGGATTTTCAGATTCATTCCTTCAAAGCCATTGTTTTCTTTTCTTTCCTTTTTTTTTTTTTGGTACTGTTCTTGTTTATATTAAGCTTTGTATCTTGCCATCGTAGAGCTCTCATGAACATCAGCACCACTGGGACTTGGTCATTTTTAGAACACGATATCATTGCCAGAAACTAGCTCAAAAGCACAACTCAAAACATAAAAGACAAGTGTAGGTGGCGGTTGAAGCAGGGTTCAGTAGACAGGAAGTTAGTTCAACAAACTGGCACAAAATAAAAAATTGGCGAAGGTAGGACAACAACAACAACAACAACAAAAAAAACAAAACACACACAAAAGAAGATTAAAAAATGCCAGAACACAAAAGGAACACTGGGAAATATTTCCCGGTATGCTCGTCATGAGACAAAATATAGACACAGTCGACTGAAATATAAAAGAACATTTATACACAGGGGTATGGAAATACTAATACACAGGTGAGACACATTAGGGAAGGGGTTGGTAATTACCTAAACAGGAAACACAGGAAGTAGGTGGCCTGAAAAAAAAAAATGAAACAACAAAAAACTATAACACGAAATGAATAAAGAGAAAGGGTAAACATACCTTCGCTCTGTGCTTCTCAAATAGTGGGGCGGGCCCCCCTGGGGGTGGGGGTGAGGGTGGCATGAGAGGCTTCCAATGGAATATGGCTCGCTGGACAGAAGTGTACCACTGTTGTAATGCTTGAACGATAAACAGGCCTCCAGCCACTAGGTGGCAGCAACTCATACAGTGGTTTGTACGGATGAGAAAATACATGTTATCAGGTTCTTAATAGTATTTCAATTCAGGGGGCAGGGGGGCGTGAAGGAACTGCTGCTCACTTGGGGGGGAGCAATCACCGACTTAACTAGTTAAGCTAAAAGTAACATCCCACCTACCTACACAGCTAGCTACAACAACGACAAACTACCGCCAAGTGTATGTTTACTTTAATTTTTTTAACACAGAGAACATGCGATATTTGAAGCCAAAGGGTTCAATCGCCGGTAATAGGCACCAGTGGCGTACAGTCAGAAACAGCAAAGCCTTTTCGGCTAGCCTAAATCGTATCAGAATCGGTGACTTACTTTTTAATATAAATATCATGAATATTTATATAATAATAGAGAGTAGTTTGTTCTCATCATTAGTGCTCATTCTCGGCTCTTGGTGGCGCTGCTACAATTTGGGTATACTCAAGGTTTTTTTTTTATCCAATCAGATTTCAGCATCATGTGTTTCCAGGTTGAAAGAAATCTGTCCCAAGGACAAAGGAATGACAAGGAGATTCTTTAACCAATCAGATTTTGGGTGACCGAGGCCTTCTACCATGCCAACTGTTATGTAAGAGATTTGAACGATTTGATTGGATGGTCAAGGAAAACCAGAGCCTCTAACATCCTCCTTTGCCGATGATGTGCCGATGTTAACAGGATCCGACTTGTAGCTCGTGTCAGTGGTACAGAGGTCAAAGTGAGGTGAAAGCTTAACTAAGTGTTTGACAGAAACAGGTGGAAACTGTTGGGCCGAGTGTCTGACTTTTCAAAGTAAATATCCAGTTTGGTCAAGTGAATAAATCCACAGGTGTTCAGCAATAAAACATCAATAATGTGTATTAGAGGACAAAAAAAGATCCATTGTTGAAATAAGTCCTGGAACAAATCAGTTATTACAGTGTTAGGGCTCGGGCAAACTACGGTCCGGGGACCGTATGCGGCCCGCTCTGTCTTTTTAATCTGGCCCGCCAAACTTATCCATATGATGCTTTTAATGTGTAATATCATTATACCTTTGCCTTTTTCCTGCAATGCCACATTTCCACAATAGATGGCATAGAAAAGGCTAAAAGCATTTTAGCATTTTAGCCTTTATGCATGACTTTTTTCACGTAATTTATCTTAGTTTACACGAACGCTGCATCTGTCAAATTTTAGGATCCATTGTGGCCCACGAGTCAAAAAGTTGGTCCATGCCTGAAACTGAATTTAAATAAGCACCCAAATATGGAAAACAACAGACGAGGACGCTAACGGTTTCTATAGAGATTGTATTATATTTCCAAAAATATATGTACAGTCTATTACAAAGGTTACAAAGCAAAAGAATTGTCTATGTTACAAGAAAATTGTCTAGGTAAATGATTCTTCTGTCCGGGCAAAATACTTTTCACCAGTGAATATTCTTAACACTTTCATTACATAAAAATAAATAATACATCGACCATCACTGTACAACAAACTAAAATGTCAAGTAAAACGAACTCAAGGAAAAGGTGGAGATCCAATCGACTGTCTTTGGTCCTAAATGAGAAACTATGTACAACTGAAATCGTGTGGGTGACAATAATTCATCTGCCAGATATAAAAATATAGTGCATTTCTCAATGTATTCAGAGCTCTCTACTGAGTATTATGTGTAAAAAAAAACAATATAAATAAAATGTACAAGTTTTACAATTAGAACATATACAAAGATTTCCCCCGCAAATCTCGTCTCTCTCTCTCTCTCTCTCTCTCTCTCTCTGACACAATCAACAGTGCTGAACTCTTTGGAAGTATTCATCACATGGCTACGAGGCGAGATGCATGTCCAACTGCTGTACCACAAAATTTGAAGAAAACAAAAACAAAGACTTTGTACTCATGTTACTACACTTGGTTTTCATCAACCCTATGAATCTCGAGTCGTTGATTTTAGGTTTGTTTTCCTTTTTTGTTGTGTTCTGTTGTTGCGGAAATATAGTCGAAGAAAAAACACGGTGCGCTTGTGTTGACGGACACAACGAGCTGAGACAAATCGAGTGACGGGGCGACACTGCTGGTGGAGGTTACGGCCGATTTGTACAAGGAATCTGGTTAATGTAGGGATGGCTCGACACAACTTGGAGTATCTGCTGATACTCTAACACAGGCATGGGCAAACTAAGGCCCGGGGGCCGAATGTGGCCCGTTCAGCTTTTTAATCCGGCCCACCAAACTTTTCCAAATAATATAATTTATTTATATTATCATTATACTTCTGCCTTTTCCCTGCAATACCCAGGTTTCCCCAATAGATGGCGAAGAAAATCCTAAAAGCAGTTCACACGAACACCTTAACTATCTACTCCAGTCCCCATGTCAAATTTTTGGACAACTGTGGCTCATGAGTCAAAAAGTTTGCCCACACCTGGTGGCGATAGTGTCCCTGTTTGCGGCATGTCATGCGAATTGAGCATTTGAGCTTATGTATCAGATGAGGCGGGCTAAAGGTGGTTTTTTTTTCTCGATGTTCAAATTTTGATCAATATCGGAGTGATACCGATCCCAATTATCAGTTTGAGCCATCCCTAGTTGAAAGCCGGATTTAATCTCATGATGGTCCAAAATAGACTCACTCTACCTCAGAGACCCACTTTGAAAATCAGAGCTGGAGTTAGGACAGGAGAGTTCGGTAAGAGTGCTGCTGGGAAGGAGGAAGTTTATGCTAAATGATCTTCATTTTGTTCTTGGTTCGCGACACCACAGTGTTCACTATTTGTGAGCCATACTAAGGTAGAAATTTGAAAAAAAATTCATACTTGTCGATAACGAACAATGTTAAAGTTACGCTAGCCACTTGTTCGGGCACTAGATTGGCGAGAACTGCAATGCTGCTGGGTGAGTTTCTGGGCGTGGCATGCAGTGTTTTGTACATCTGGTATCTCATGAGCTCTGGGGACCAGCGTTAGCAGTGGCGAGAATTGGTACTGCCAGTGTGCGAGTGTTACAAACGTGTTAAAAAATACTTTTCGTAGTCCGATTTGTTCGTGAATAGGGACGGTATCATCGTACTTTAAAGTTATCTTTCTGAGTGAGTTTTATGGCCACGTTGAGAAAATTCATGACATTCAAAACACTACAAGATAAAAAAAATATTATTTAATTTTATGTGAGATAAAAAAAATCACAACGTAAGAGTAAAGTCGTATATTTCGATTGTGTTTTGGAGGATGTGCTCTGGTTTCCCTTTGACACTTGCACACGACTCATGGGATGACACGTATGCGCTAATCTAATGACTGTCTCTCGTACATTTACATCGTAAATGCTTTTCTTGAAACGTTTCGTCTTCAGTCTTCTCTCTCCGTAATAAAAAAAAATTAATTCTCAATATGGCAATTATGAGAAACAGCACTCCCATGATGCCTCACTTTAGACCCATAAATTCTAGTCTTCGTCAAAGAGCTTTTCAGTAAAACAAGTGAGTAAGGAATTCATCTACGAACTAGCGCCACCTTAAATCTGATGAGCTTTTTTTTCCCCCTCCTGCCGAGCATTATGCCCTCGCACCCATTCAGCGTAGAAACTGCGCTTAATTTCTGCATTTGAAGTAGAGACAGATGGCACCAAATAGGTTGATTGGCTTATTTGGAGCGTCTCCCGCAAAGCCACCGCTCCTCCTTGGCCCCCGTTGTTGTGCCGCACATCCGTATGTAAGAAAAGGTTTGCAGCCGTCAGAGACACTTAAAGCATGTTTGTGGTTGTGCCCGTGAGGGATGGGTGGATAGACGCGTGACAAAACAAAGAGGATTGCGAGGCGGCGTGCAGAGACGGAGTCAGAGCCGTGAGAGAGTTCCCTACGTTTTTATATCAAAAAAAAAAAAAAAACCCGAAGGGATGCTTTGATTTCAGGGTTGCACGTTAGCGTCAAAGGATGATATCATCAAGGCTAATTGGCAGCTTCGATAGTGTTTCGAAAAAATTCCTTTATGTTCGCAGCTGCTTGGTTAAACACCTCCATGCCCTGTTTGGTTTCCATCAACTTCTCCGGTTATTGAACTCGCAGAGTACCACATGATTATTTCATTTGATGTCTTAGTACAGCAGTTCTCCCTCCCGAGCACACTCCAGAAGTGATTTTAGGTCAGAGGTACTCTCCATTTAGCAGCAATGGCTGAATCTTTCCAAAGGGTTTCATCCCAGCACAGAATACACACGTCTTCACACCTAGCACCTTTAATAATCTCATTTCTACCTGGTAATTATTGCTCTGTTTAGTTCATCTCTTTTTTTTTTCTTTTGTTTTTTAACCCCCGCTCCTTGAGTCACTGACACGGCTGCGAACGCCCGCGTGCGTTAACTTGAATTTACCAGTTCAAGTTCAAGATAGAAAAACGACCAAAAAAAAAAACCATGGTGTTTATCCGCCCGCCACACAAGCAGCGGAAAAGCATTGCAATCGAAGTGCCTAAAATAGTGGCAATAACAAATCTAATTGTCTAACATACTTAAGGCAGTATTACATCTACACCTTTTTGCGGATCCACCCTTTACAATTTCATTTGTGCAACATTTTTAGGCAAAAAAGACGGCGAACAATATGCGTTGGCTGCAATTACGGTACAATCTTTCGACAGTGCTAGAACATTCTACTCCGTAAAATGAGTAACTGTGTCTGTGTTTCCAGTAGTGAACACTAAGACAAAGGATATTGCTACTCTGATTTAAAAAAAAAAAAAACAAAACGTATCGGTGATTTGCAGGAAAATTCACATCTTGCATCTACTCAAGTGTTGCACCCACTGGGAAAACTCCTTCATTAAAAGATCCGAAAGGTGAAAAGAAAAAAAACGCATCGAATGCTCAGTCGCTCCTCGCTGCAAACGAGCGTGAGGTGTAGCATCAGATCAGCAACCGCTGCGAATGCTTCACACGGTCCGTTCTGCTTCAGCACAGGGTGAAAGAGAGTTCCCTTTTTGTTTGGATAAATGAGAAGTTTTACCCTGTTTTTTTAGTCCAATGGGAAGAGAAAAAAAATTTGCAGCTTGTGCAACAAATGTGACTGGGGATGATGAGAATTATCAGAACAACAAAAAAAAAGGGGAAAATAGTCCAGTCTAGTTTTTCCCAGTCATGGTATGAACCTAAATCCTTTAGGTTCGAAAAAAAAACGTGTCAAACTTGTTTGCGATGTGCTATCTGATATGTGGATTAATCGAAAGACGTCTCTGGAAAAAAGTACGAGTACAAGTTTCTTGTCCAGGTAGTTAAATGTTGTCGCTGTTTTTCTGGTGCCCTTTCCTCGTTTTTTTTTTTTTTTTACTGCCCTCTGAAGATGGAGTCCACAGTCCTAACTGAGGAACAAAGGAATGATTTGCTCCGGACGGCAGCCGGAAGAAACAGACATGACAGATGTCTGTTCGCTTTGAAGATCCTGGTTACATCCCAGGCACTACCTCCGGAATAGTCCTGCTTTTATTTGCGGTCCCTGCCTGAGTTAGCTGCCCGTCACAGTCACACCTGGACGCCGGTGCCGTGGAGATGTACCATCTGGGCTCTCGTCGTCTGTATGCTGCTCATGATCTTTTTCTGATGGCCCACCAGTGTGATCCCTAGGTTCATCACATCCCTGGGAAAGAGGACAACATATCAATCAGTTCAGTGGACCGCAGCATGGGACAGGAAAGAAATAAAAAAAAGAAAAAAAAAGAAAAGCGACACACAACGAACCAAAAATAGACACCTTCACAATAGTTTGCTCCGAAACCCACAAACTCAGTCAAACGCCGACTTCACACAAAACGCAGCAAATATGTCTGCGTCCAAATGAGGAAGAGTTTGCAGTTTGACATTTCACAGGGACTATGAAGATCGATCTATCTATCTATCCGTCTATCCATCTATCT